GAACTGGACATACAAGCAGAAAATGATCAATGTCTTCAATGGAATTATCATTGCACACCTTACAAAATCCAGTGTCACTCTGATCATTAGACCATTTTTTAGTTCGTTGTTGGAGAGGGAGGGTATTTGAACGGAGCTTAAATTTTATTGATGCTCCTTCAAAATCAGTACCGTCAAGAAGGTACTCCTCCATACTTTGTGACGTTTTAATTAATGAATATTTTACAATAGAAGGTTTGCTTTTAATATCATCCTTCCAGCAATTTAACGAATTTTGATTTAGAGCATGTTTTATTTCAGCTGCCCATATAGGATTGGGTATATCTCGATTATCTTTAATATAATGGAAAATACTCTCAATGTTACATTTCTGAAATATATTATCGACACAACCAAGTAATTTATAACTCAAGTTATTGATATTTTCAGATGCAGTTAGGGCTTCAAGTAACAGCTTTGGCCAACAATCTTCTTCCATTTTAATAAATATGATCCATATTTTCATAATACGATCGATATAATTTAGTCTGAAGATGTTCTGGGAGTCGATGATGGGGGACCATCCGAGGTCTCCGTAAAGGGTAGAACGGGGTGTGTTTCTTGGAGCCTTTAGAATACACCTCGCCGTTTGCATTTGCAGCCTTTCAATTTTTTCAAGATCACTTTTGCTTCCGTTTACCCACACCGCACCTGCGTAATTGATAGATGGAAGTGTGATCGTTCGCCACAGGATGTTACCATAGTATACTCTTTTAAAATTATTTAGATTATTGATAATTTATTTTATATAACCGATAAGACGATTTCCTTTTTTAATTACATATTCTACATGATTATGATCATTCATATTTCTTGAGATAAGTACACCAAGGTACTTGTATGTATCTGTTTCATTTATGCTGTAATCACCTAAGTTACAAACTTTGTTTTTATTTACACGTTTACCTATGACCATAACCTTGGACTTCTCATAATTAAAGTTCAATTTCCATTGTTTTGCAAATTTAGTAGCAATCTCAAGCATTGTAACCAACTGGCGCTCATCTTCTGCCAGTAAGACTACGTCATCCGCCCAGAATAGGGCTCAATGCCAGTTGTTATTTATATGTACACCAATATAATGGGATCTAAGTAGCTTGGTAAATTCATTCATGAAAATACAGAATAATATGGGCGACAAAACACAGCCCTGTTTGACCCCCTGGTGTATTTTAAATTCATCCGTCATAATATCCCCAAATTTACCTTTCCTTTTACATCTTTATATAATAAATCAATTAATTTCTCTGATGCCTACATCCCATGCTGATTTTTAAATAATAATATGAAATTAAGCTTAAGTTTCCTACGGAAAGACGAAAAAGAAACATCGTTCCAAAAACGAGGTCCTGAAACTGTAAACAAATAGTTAGAGCTTCATAGACGAGTAAAGGGAATACCGTAAAACCTCGAATTGAAGCCCTTATTTTTGTGAACTTCGGATGGGTTTCTTTTCGAGGCTAATTTTGCGAAGTAAACAGGGGGCTTCTTTTCAAAATGAATGCTGTAAATTTTGGGGATTTGTACTATAAAACAATAAATAAGACCACCGTATCACCGGCATTAAATCACCGTATAAAACAAGCGTTTTTAAATTTATTTTGATATTTGAAATTCGTGTACAGTTTATGTTCTGCACTATATCGAGTGGAGGATAGGGGGAGGGGACTTCAATTCGAGATGGGCTCCTTCTAGAGATTAAGCCCATTGGGCGTCAATTCGAGGTTTTACGGTATACTTTTCACCGGTATTGTTACGTAAATTATGTGGATTATGAGGTTGAATGAATGAATGAATGAATGAATGCATGCATGCATGCATGCATGCATGCATGTATGTATGTATGTATGTATGTATGTATTTGTGTATGTATGTATGTATTTGTGTATGTATGTATGTATGTTTGTAATTAGATTTATATAGCGCATAACACCGGGGTATCTATGCGCTGATACAACAGAAAGCAAAAAAAGAAAACTAAACCATTGATCTATTCTAACTAACCATGAACAACCCCACCCCCCAAAAACAAAACCACTCTATCAGAGGAACCAAGATCATTGCACCGTTCTCCTGCAAAGCAATAGCTGCACTAATGCAAGGCAATAGATGGAACATTGTTGGGCAAAGTTTGTTTTGGTCATATTGATACATAAATGAGGCAATTTGGACTTTGTGAATGTTATAAAATTTTAAGAGATTAAGTTTCTTAAATAATGGTTCAGAAATAATGGTACTAACATCAGGTCTACTTTTATACTACTACCCAGATCAAATCAAATGCAATCTGGCTGTTATCCTTATTTTTTCTCTAGGGATTTAAAATGTGAAAATATTCTACTAGACGAGAGTGATAACATCAAAATTACAGGCAAGTTGATTCACTTTAATATGGCTCATTTTTTAACATTTTTGAACATCAAAATCTAATAATTCTTTGGTTTTTATCTGCACCA